CAGGTGAAGAACAAACAGTTGTTTGTTTTCTCAACTGCATACCTCTTGAAGTTTGCCCAGATGATTTTGTGTGGCCGTGCTAGCAACATTTTCTGTACGCCATGCCACATAGGATAATGTAACAACGATTTCGATTCGGCTTCAGTTGTTTTGATGATTTCCATAAGTGACCTACCTGACTCATGACGACCTCCACCCATCTGTCTCGTAGGAGCTCGTCAGAGAGACTTTGAGGCTGACATCAATACCATCGGGCCAGCACAGTGTTGCGCCCGTCTTGTATTTCCCTTGGAAAGATGTTGATGAGATTTAGTCGACTGTCTAACACATCAGCATGGGGATGAGCCCTGGTCTGAAGGGTACACAACTGCAACTCATTTTTAGGCCAGAGCACTGAGAATTTCGCGGTTTTCAAACCAAGATTCTCGCTGCATTTTCATGGTGGCTCCATCCAGCCTTTTTTCCGCCTCACTCCTGGCCTCTGCTCAGATAGTAAAGGCGATATGACTGCGCCGTGGAAACAAAGATTGGTGGCATTCACCTATTTGCTTGTATCGGCCCAGTCCTCACTGCATTCAGTGCAGGCCATGACCTGACTTGTGCAGTACCTCCTGTGGTTCGGCGTTGCCAACCTTACAAGGGTGGGCCTCTCACAGATTGCAGCCTAATTCATTAACTGTCATGGCGGACATGTTACCCTGCCAGTTAACTGCCCACCACACGCATCTAGTGGCGGATTGGTGAGGCCCTGTGTGAGCATCATTCAAGTTCCATTAACATACTTGAGATGCTGGCAGTCTCGGAGAAACTGCGATGTTACTTCTATATTCGGTGTTGTGCCAGATGATCCTGGTTCGATGTGACTTTGACACAGTTGTAGTTTACATCGACGACCAGGTGGGCAGACAGCCTGCACACCTCGGAGAAACTGCGATGTTACTTCTATATTCGGTGTTGTGCCAGATGATCCTGGTTCGATGTGACTTTGACACAGTTGTAGTTTACATCGACGACCAGGTGGGCAGACAGCCTGCACACCTGTGTACACTCACTTGAGAAATACCCCATTGGGTTTTTCCTCATAGCTTGTTGCTTTCGACGGTCCTCCTCCCAAGCAAGGACAACTAACCACATGTCAATCTGACTTGTTTCATGAACTAGTCACAGATTTCCAGGCTAATGCCTGAGGGTTCCTGACCCCTACACATGGCACACGAATACGATGGTGATGAAGACGGACAGGCTGCTTATATACACCTTCCTGTCGTCTTCCTCTTATCCCTCGGGTACTTAATCAACTGGAGCAGAAGGACGACAAGGTCCTCTTCTTAACTCCATGTTGACCCCATTGATTGGTTTTCCAGGGCTATAACCATTCCCTTGATTCACCAGTTGGAGGTACAAATGTTCTTCCGAGCAGAACAATATTCTGTTTCAGCACAGCTTGGGTTTCCTTCACCCAGCTCCGCAGGAATTTCTCCTGATGTACTGGATGCTGTAATGCTCTCCTGTTCACATCAGACCTTTCTCAAACAAGCTATGGCTTTTACAGCCTGCACTTGAGGGACTTCTATCACGACAGTAGATTACTTAATGTTAGTCAGTTGAACGTCCATGTCAGTTAACTTAAGGGGATGTTTTAACACCCCTGAATTGCAGGACCTCTTCAACACCTTCTTATCCAAAAGTCTTATAGAGATCTTTAGAGTTCTGTGAAACAGTGAACAATTTCACATCTGTTTCATTGGTTCCTACGGTTGCCTTTTTTTTGTAAGCAGTTGTTACTTCTTTGTATACATGTAGTAAAGAACTGTTTTCTGCATAATAGACATCTGATGGGAACCGAGTGTGCCCATCCGATTCCTACGGGAGGATTTTTGTTTTTTAACTAAGACTGTCGGAGTCCTCTTTACCTCCGGACATCTTTGTTCTAGGCATCAAATCATTGTCCATTCCAGATGGAAAATGTTGGTGCCGCTCATGACTTTGGCGTCTGATCCCTAAGGAAGGTTTTTTGAGCTAAGACGGTCGGAGTCCTCTTTGCCTCCGGATGTCTTTGTTCTGGGCATCAAATGATTCTTGTCCGTTTCAGACAGCGAATTTTGGTGCTGATCATGACTTGATGTCTGCTCCCTAAGGAGGGATTTATACTAAGGACTGTCGGGAGCCCTCTGTGCCTCCGGACGTCTTTGTTCCGGGCATCAAATCATTCTTGTCCAGATGGAGAATTTTTGGTGCCAATCATGACTTTAATGTCGTACATTAGCTGCACTGGGACGCTTTGAATCGGTCACTTGCAGTTACAAATGTATTTGTCATGACAACCCTGCCATACCAACAGGCTTCTCGCGACACGTATTTGTCATGACAACCCTGCCATACAAGCAGGCTTCTCGTGACATGTTTTTTGTCATGACGACCCTGCCATACAGGCAGGCCTTTCATGACATGTATTTATCATGGTGACCCCACCATACCTGCAGGCTTTCATGACAAGATTGCCTGAAGGTTGGCTACGGTCATCCATGAAACCACGGACGTATCAACGGCAGAATCCGTGTGATTGGTCCGCATGCGCAAAATAAAAGGCAGAGCATGGGAGAACAGTGTTGAGAGCGACTGACTGAGCCCCACCATGTTCTCAGGACATTTTCAGACCGGAGACCTCCCCAGCATTGGTGTCTCCTAACTCTGATTCTTTATTGAGCTCTGTACATGTACATGTGCATAATAGTGTCTATATTTACCATGTCATGATGTTTTGCCTTTCATGATAATTTTTATTTTGTGTGCCCCACCGAACTCTTACGGTGGGCTGTAATTCATTACGTGTGATTCCCAAAATCGGGGATCACATCTCTGTTGGCATGTTGAGGCTACCATTATGACTAATGTCTTTATCATGCCGACCTTTTTGGGCTGCCTTGTCCACCCACATGTGGAGCGACAGGCCCATCCAGGGTTTACGCGTATTGTTACGTGCCCCTGTGAAAGCACAATAGCATCTCGCATGACCCACCTCCTTGATGGTGCTAGTCTATGCATAAGTAGTATTGCTCTACAGGTAAGTAAAGTGAAGTAGACTCCCCCCCCCCCCCCCCCCCCCCACAGAAGTGTGGTTGGGGTCTACGAACGAATACTTACCTGTAGAGCATCCCTCCCCCCTACCCCACTCTTCTCGATGCCTTGGGTACTTAGTTGTATTCCGACTTAGCGCTCGAGAAAAGAGGACGCTCACGAGGCACGCATGCCGCGGAGTATTATGGGTAGGGCGCCAGAGGGCGCTGTTGTATATAACTCTTAGCGGAAAATACCTGCCGGTAGGGGGAATATGCATAAGTAGTATTGCTCTACAGGTAAGTATTCGTTCGTAGACCCCAACCACACTTCTGTGGGGGAGGGAATTTGTGTGTTCGTTTTGTGATGAATTAAGGTCATTGGCATAACCTATAAGTAACCTATAAATTGTCAACAAATTAATGTATACTAAAAAAAAACTTAATGAAGACAAATTAACTGGTTAAAAATCCTGTAGTGAAAATTTAGCTGAATTCTAGGCTTTAGAGAAAAGAAACTAATCAGTGTGACAAGTGTATTACCTCTAAATATAATATATATGTGACCCCATATTGAAGCCTAAGGGTGGGGGGGGGGGTCGTGGACCATGAAATGAAAGTAATAACAACGCAAGGTCTGTTCCATCCAAAGAATCATTTTGTCTGGACTCCAGTATGCTTCTGGAGTAGGTCTAGTGCATTTCACTCTTGACAGTACAAGCAGATGTCTCAATCATATCAATGCTCATACCTCGATCAGGATCTTAATTTAGCTGTTTAAGTTACAACATGTACTGATGAAAAATGTGTGACGGACATATGCAAAGCTCAATTATATACAGAACTACATCTGTTTCTCATCAACCTCATAGACGTTTTTGTTTTGTTTGTGTTTTGAGATGCTTTGTTTCATATTTTCATGTACTAACAAATGTATTGTATCTGGCATCAGAACCCAACTTCCTGAATGTTCTTAACCAAATACAACAAATCATTTTCAGGCACTTAATCAACAATCTTTACTAAAGATTTTTTGCTTTACTGTCAAAATGGTCATGCATGCACTGACTAACCATTTTCCATCTGTGTATGATCAAACATGTTTTTTAGACATCCCTTTTTGCAAATAATCGTATCTCGTCTGTGGACTTATTGCAGCCTTTAGGCGGAAAATAGTCCACTCTATCCGTAGTGCCATGTATAAAATTATGACTTGAAACAGACATATCCCCGTCAAAAGTAGAATTTTGAGCCAAGTTACAAACATGTACTGCTCTTAATATAAAACTCACTGTAAAAATTTATTTAAAAAGGGGGGGGGGGTTTCCGACGCAATGTCGTCTGCTGCACTCGCATGTGGTCATGAATTCTAAACATTAGCTTATGAAAGCATGCAAATCGAAGCAAATCACCAGCCGAATTGTTCGAGGACAAAACGTCCCAAATTTTAACCACAAAAAAAATACTTGAAAAAAAACACCCTTCCACTCCATAGAAACAATTACATTTTCCACATGTTGATTGTGTATTTATTTGAAGTCGTTCGACGCTCGAATGGTTGCTATTGCAATTTGTTCTAGGTCTAAACCAGACTAAAGTAAAACAAATACGGTGAAGTTATGGTGACATTATCGCATGTCAAGTGATGTCTCATTGAATGTGCTTTTAAAGCTTTTTGTCACTGACGCAACATTGACGTTGCATTTTAACAGTGTGCTATCTTCAGAAATACACATCTGATCGCTCTGAAACATGTATGTCTTGTCAGTCTATACCATGACATAAACATGCAATAACAAAATGCCGAGACAACCATGTGTTTGTCCACACACATAAATCTAGTTATTTCAGCTGTTGGTACACGTTATTGACATAATTCTAGCCTTTGGTGGGTGTTCACCACTTGTTCACATTTGATGTGTCAATTTGTCTGATGTGTATTAGGTATGTGATGACTGCGTAATCATACGTAGTGGAAGTGGTGCTGTTTGTGATCGCTGCTGGTATGAGAGACTCATCAACATGACTTACTGCCCTAAAACAAAAGTCTTGTGTCTCTCACGAAGACTTACTAGCACAACTCGTCTGGACAAGTATTACACTAAAAAGGTATTTATTCATAAATATATAAAAGGAAACAAATAATTGAATTCATTCCTCGGTGATCTTAACAGTTCATCAGAAAATTAAAATGCTTTGTCTTATATACATGAGTATAAAGGAATTTGTTTAAACAGAGGCATCTTCGCATGGAGAGCTTGTCTTCTCCAATCTGCTGAATTCACGACACTAAAACCATGAATTCAGCAGATTGAGGGTTTATGAGGTTTGGGATCGTTTTTGAGTTCTCATACTTATCCATGGTCTCTCCACCTTTATTCATTTGACTCATTTGTAATTCTTTGGGAGTCATTGTGGATCTGTACTTTATCTGTTAATGGCAACAAACACACCCTCCTAAGTCTCAATTCCATATTCACAACATTAAAAATCCCACCTTTTCCTCACTTTCTATCACATTTTATTACTTTCCTATGCTTATTACTGTTTTTCTTATCTTGGTTTTAGTGTCGTGAGTTGTACTTTTGCATCAAGGAAAGCATGGAAAAAGCTGCTACTCGTCAAAAAAACGGCATCTCTGGAGGTAAGTCATCAAAGAGGACATGTGATCTCTTGATTGTTTTGTACTTATCAAATCAAAAACCTTTAAAAAAATAAAATTTGTTTCAATCAAAGGATTCAAAACTGCCAAAAATACGCACAAAATTCTATGCAGTTGATACCGACCCAGCAGCATGATATTCGCCACTTCCGCCAATCCCTCGTGCCACACCGAATATTTGGTGTCTTTGTCTTCAAAACAAATGTGGTTATTTACCCGGCGATACCCTGTTATTTAACAGGCAGTTTTCGTTGTCTCACAGCAGTGTTGCTGTACTGAATGAGTGAGACTTTACACAGGGTGAGTGTCGCACGAGTCGCAAGCCAGTCACCCTTTACCTACGCTACCAGTTACCGTCCAGTCAGCGTGATATTTCGCTATTCGCAAATCCCTCACGCTGCACTGAATGCTCAATTCTTTTGCCTTCAACATAAATGCCACTATACATGTATAACCAGCGATTTGCTATTATTTAACTCGCAGCTTTCGTTGTCTCACAGCTGTGCTGCTGTGCCAAACAACTGAGACATTGCATGGGGCGCACGTCGCACTAGTTGCAAGCCGCTCACCCCTTACCTACACTACTAAGTTACCGACCCATCAGCATGATATTTTGCTACTTAGCAAATCACCTTCAAAACAAACTCCGTTAGTTTTCCAGAAGTTTCGTTTCCTCATAGTGGTATATTTGTCAATACGTGAGACTTCCCATTGACGGAAAGTTGTTAACTGCTGCACCACAACTTACTGACCATTCTGCGTGATATTTCGATGTTAGCAAATCCCTCATGCTGCACCGATTCTTTGGTGCTTTTGCCTTAAAAACGAACACCGTTATTTTTACCGGCAGTTTCGTTATCTCACAGCGGTGAATTGACCAACGTCCAAGACTTCACATATTTGACTGCAAGTTGTTAACTCTGACGACACAACTTACTTACTGTCAGTGTGATATTTCGCTGTTAGCAAATACCTTATGCTCCACCAGTTATTCTATACTTTCACCTTCAACAGTTTAATAGGGTGATATTTTGCTGCTAGCAAATCCCAAAGTAGTCTTCTGGCCGCTTCAAGATTGTACCAGCCGCCACACTATCGTTCCGGATGTCCCGACCACTCCAGTTGCCGTCCGGTTTTTACCCATCACTTGATACGGGTTTTTCCCCGTGCTGAAATTGTCATCCACTGCTTTACCAGCGAGACCTCTTTGCCGGCCTTTTTAGACTTCTAAGGAGAAGATTACTTTTACAACGGTTTGTCCAAAACTGTCTTCCCCGTTGTCCACAGCCGTCAAGCAGTGGTTTTCATTCCACCGCTCGACACCCTGCAAATCCACGGGCCACCTTCTGTCCTTCAGCCTCTACCGCCACTTTTCAGCCACGGGTCCGCTGGCGGAAGTGAATATGCATGCAGACATCGCCCCCCCCCCCCCCCCCAACGGGACCGGGGCAGGGGCGGATCCAGGAATTTGTGCAGGGCGGGGGTTCATTTGCAAATCAATGCTAAAATGTAGACAGGTTTTTACAGACACTTGGCTCCGCAAAATCAATGGGGCCCTCCTACCATACTTTTAATGGGGGCGCTGTTCCAATCCGACGATTATTAACACTATATTACAGAATAGTGTATCAAAACCCCCTAACCAAGCTGGCTCTGTACGTATTCCATATTTTGTACACAGGCAGACATTATTACCAGTAGAATTGTTGGTGGGGGGGGGGGGTGTTTCGCATTATTAGCTTTTTCGCAAATTTGCGAAAAAGCATTTGTTTTTGTTCTGATTTTTTTTTTATTCTTCTTCTTCTTCTTCTTCTTCTTCTTCCACACAAAATCCCATAGACTTTGTGTACAATTTTCTGTCCGGCACTTTTGCCATTTATCTTTGTCACACATTCAAAGTTACCACAGGCATTGTCCCTATATAGCAAAGTTGTGTCCCGAAGAGTGACGTCATGGTGATGTCATCATGGGTCACGTGACGTCATCTGAAATGTGCATATTTTAATGTCTTGTATCTACAGAACTGTAAGTCCGATTTGGTTGAAACTCGGTATGTAGGTAGACCGGGATGTGTTATAGGTAAAAATTGAAATGACGTCATGATGACGTCATCGTGTGATTTTATTTGATTTTTTTTAATTTTTTGACCTTTAAGCCATATCTCTTGAACACAGCATGCAAAATTCGCGCCTGATGTGAGAACCCGTTTGACTCATTTCGAACGGGTACTGGGATTTACAGTAAACAATTGTTGAATAAATTTAGCTGTTAATGGTTTTCTTTGTTATGTGAAATGTAGAGAGAATTAGAGATGAAGAGATCACATCTTTTGTAAACTTTTTGATGTAGGCCCACACTGGGTGCGGTCTGCCAAACGACAACATTTCCTGCTGTTTGTGCTTGTAATAAAATGTCTTAGGCCTTGCAAGGCCAGGAAAAACATTAAACACCGTTTCAGCCAACCAGACATGCCAGAGAAGCCAGATACTTTCAAGGACTGATTTGTTGATATGTCCAGCAACAACTCCGTACCGGACCAGAGCTGTCATTGTGATGTAAATTAGACATCTTATGGCTTAAATGTCAACACTGAGATCATAGTATTTTCTTAGAATTTTATTTTTCTGTGTGACTTTTCTGAAACCAAGCCCTTTCGTCCCCCTTTTTCTTCTTATGACAAGGACTCCTCCATTGTGCATGGTCTCGCATTTTTTTCTGTTTCATTAATTTGCCAATGGACAAGAAGATGGACAATCAAATATGCCACCCTCTAAATGAGGAGATATGGAATAAATGGGTCGGGCGGATTAAGAGGCCGGATTATATAAGAACTTATAATAGACTACAACTGACACAGGGGAAGTTTACATATTGAACTGAACATTTCTAAGCTGAGCTTGATCGCCTGAGAATTAATCCTCTAGATGAAGTGGGACCACGCCAGCAGCAGGGCGCGATATTAGATGAATTGAGGAAAGCCATTTTTGTAAGAGAGCAGTGGCCCAATATATGATTTTATCTGTTTTCACAAATTTAATGTCTCAAGGATTAAAGGTTTTCTCCTAGAATGCACAAATACTGGCTGCCCCACTTAAGAGTACCATTTTCGGATTTCCACGGTAAAATACAACAGGAAAAATTAGTAAGATTAATCATAACATTTTGCAAATAAATGGCCTTATCACAGGGAATATAACTTAAAAAAATTATAACAAAATAATCACCTTGAAAATTTGCCTTTGTAAACTGGTTTAATCTTTATTTAACATAGTAAATCCAAAATTAACAACAACAAAAAGTATGTTTGGCTTCCGTGCCGGTACGGTGAGAGGCGACGGAAAGGGTAATAAACATTAATGCAAAAATTGTGACAAGAGGGTGCCATTGATAAATAGCGCCCTCTTTGAAATTTAGCTCTGGTTTTTGACAATTTCGGTGAGTTACGTTTTTAGATAATTGCCAGCCTAGTTTTCTGTACCCAGAGATGGTATTTAAACATGCTTGATGTATTTTATAGGACATTTGACCATTTACTGTCCTGGAATATACTGATGTCTGGGTCACATATGGTTTTAAACCACTGTGCCCTAGTTGGACACACACGCCTGCCAGATTCGGGGTCTTCACCAGAATTGTGAGAACAGTGAACCTCACGGACTTAGTCCGGTGTGCCACCTGTTTATGCGCCCGCTTCAATTCTATTTTCTGGTCCCCTTCTGTACACAGTTCCATCCTGTTTCTCACATGATATCGTGTTCACAGAATACCTGGCCACATCCCAGTGGCGAATCCAACCAGACTAAATCAGTGAGGGTCTTTCCGATCACAACAGATACGTCTCTGGTGGGTTGGGGCGCGGAGATGGAATCTCACCAAATGGCGGGGCTCTGCACTTTAGCAAAGGCCACCCTCCACATCAACTTTATCAAAATGACAGCAGTCTTATCACCCTTCACCGCTTTAACAGCATGGTGCAGGGTCAATCTGTTGTCACCTGCGGTGACTGTTGTCCAACACAATGTGGCATTTACGGCATCGGTGTCGCCAGCATGCCATCTGTCTCAGAGAGATCCATCTGGTGGGCACGGAAAACACCACAGACGATGCACTCTCCCGGGACTGGATTCGCCCCATGGAATGAACCCTCCGAACCTTGGTCATGCAGACGATCTTATCACAATTAAACCGTCCTCATATCGATCTGTTCGCAATATTACTCAACCGCCAGCTCTTTGTGTACTATTCCAGATCCCCAGACCAAAGGGTGTGGACCAACTTATTTGCCTACACTTGTTCCTCGATTTCCCTACTAATCTGAGTACTTGGGAAGATCGAGCAGGATCCCTGCAGGGTCCTCCTGATTACCTCATTTTGGCTCCGACAGCCTTGGTTTCCACGCCTTGTCTACCATTCCTTACATTCCTTCTCAAAAGCTGCCACCATCGCAGCCCATCGCCTCCTTCAAAACAGATTTTCTCTTGACGGCAGCCACCGCGCGCTGCATGAGTGAACTCCACGTCCTGACCATAGGTCAAGGACATTTGACATTGGGAGCCTGGCAGGGTCCGCCTGACCCCCCATCGCTCTTTCCTCACCAAGAACCAGTCAGTGACGTTCTTCCTGACTGACTTCTTCGATACTGACTTAAAGTTGTTCTCCGTCCCAGAGGACAAGCTCTGGTGTCCTGTCTGGACCCTCAAGTGGTACTATGTACCTACATCGGACTGCACCAATCTGTGGCCATACGACTCCCATCATCAGACTGGCCTATCCTGGACAGAGTACAAGCTCACGAAATTTGCAGTGTGGCAACGTCTTGGGCCCTTTATCAAAGGAGTGCTCCTTGCAGATACCATGCAAGCGGCATGTCGGAAATCCTCCAACACCTTCACCTCCTGTTATGTTAGGGATGTGCTGCAAGCTGATGGCAGAATCGTGTGCAGTCCTCCTTACTGCCCCGCAACTGGATCATTTTCCTCCTT